CACCTAACTAGCCATTCCATATCCTTCTCTCCTCTTCAAGACAAATCAATTCCTTAAAGCAGGGGTCCCCAACAACCCGGCTGCGGTCCACTACCAGGTTGCGGCTTGTTTGAAACCAGGTCACACAAGTGATGGGCAAGTGTGCATGTGTGAAGCTCTACTTGCGCAATCAGAGGGCTCTTGCACTTGTGCGTGAAGCTCCACTTGCATGAGTGGAGGGCACTTGAGTGAAGGTCGCTTGTGCTCATGCACAAAACTCCCCTTGGAGGGTACTCGTGCGCCAAGCTCAATTTGCACAAATGGAGCTTCCAGCACAAGCATTCTCTACTTCCATGAGTGGAGTTTTGTGTGCGACAAGCATCTTCCACTCATGCACAAGGATCCATTTGCTGCCTTAAAGCACTAGTAAAACTATTAAAATCAATTAATAAAATAGTTAAATTTAGTTATTGGATTCTTAGCTACAAATGTATTTAAATTTAGGACCAAATGGATTCCAATTTTTTTCATTTATGATTGGTCACTCATTCCATTTAATACACATATACTTAATGCACATTTGTTTTTGTACCTTTTCTTGTTTTTAACACATGTACTGCTTAAGTCAGCAGTCCCCAACCTTTCCCCCTTAGTGGCCTGGCCCGACGCAGGAGGGACATGGAAGTTGCGGCAGGAACACAGGTACACCTACAGCTCCATTGGTGAGAGAAGCATGTGCCCACCTCTCACACAAATAGAGCTTTGCAAGTGAGCAGACGACACTTGCACTCACACACAAAGCTCCGCTCACACGAGCAGTGAACACTTATACTCATGTGCAAAGCTCCACTGGTGAGAGAGGAGGATGCTTGTGCTTGCACATGAAGCTTCATTCACGTGAGTAGAGAATACTTGTGTGCAAAGCTCCAATTGCATGAATGGAACTTCACATGCGAGCGCCCTCCTCTTGTGCAAGCAGAGCTACACACACACACACATGCTTGCCCATTGCTCACATAGTGGGCCACAGTCCAGGAGTTGGGTTAAGTATCTCATTTCCATTGTATTCAGCATATTTTTATGTTTTTGTCTGCTGTACCTGGCTCTTACTTCCATATTAAAAAGTAGACAGGAAACCTCTTATGTAGTGTATTCAAATATAGACTTCTAATACTACATTCTTACTGGTTAGTTAACACAGCGTAATGATTGGTTAAGAACAATGGGTTCCGATTGGCCGCATAAGCAGCGGGAAGTTTAAACACATGCCATTGGTTGCGAACCGCGAGCAGCCGCTATAAAAAGGGCTGCCGCGGCTCGACTTCAGTTGAAGTTACTGGTTGCTAATAAAGAGCTGATTTCAACTCCGGTATTCGAGTCTGCTTTGTCCTGGCGATAGAACATCTTACATAGCTATTCTTGCTCCCTTCAACAAACATTAATTCCTTGCAACAGACCATATGTTACAACCTTTCCATCAGCATGTCAGATTTCACCCAGTCCAATGTGGAAATAAAAGACACCCAGCTCTTGATAAGTTAATTTTATTTCTAGGAAAATCTGAGATTGTACAAAGAAAGGTAGACTCTGGGGCTCAATCTTTATACAGTATATACAGGGCCAAGGTTCAATTCTGACATTTCTTTATCCTGTCCATTTGTCGTGTCAGGCTGAGGACCATTTATTCTTGGGTGGGAGAAACAATTGACAGTGATGCATTGTTTTTGCAATGGATCAGTCTGCTCTCAGGCCCTGTGCTTCTGACTTTGCCCTCACGGAACATTTTCATAAAATCTCTTCATTCATCTTCCCATCTTTGGTAAGCATTCTATTTTAAGGCAGTGTTTCTCAGCCATGGCAACTTAAAGATGTGTAGGTTCCCAGGATTCCAACCAATTTCCCTCTTCTAGAAGATGTGTAGCTTGTAACGATTCACTCCAATTACTTTCTCAGACACAAGTATTTTGATCCTTGATACATTAATTGTCAGATCCATATTTCTCATTACATTCCACTGTGAAACATTTGATTTCTAAGCACAGTGTCATTTTTATATGAAAGTATTAGTCCATGCATATTCACATCTCCAACAAACACGCCTCAAAATCAATATTTATACATAAACATATGTATAAATATATAAAATAACTATTCACATTCCCTGTGTTATTCCCTGTTAAATTTGTTGAAACATTTCCCATTACAAGAAGTTCATACTTACCAACCCCTCATTCAGGGACTGTTCAAAGTTACAATGGCACTAAAAATGAGGTTTAAGATGAGTTGCAGCCGTGACAGTGTTCCCACATTCACGTGATCACAATTCAGGTTACTTGGCAAGCGTTGCACATTTAACAGCAGTTACAGCATTCTGTGTTCACATGATCACTACTTGCAACTTTCCCTGCTGGCTTTTGACAAGCAGAGTCAACGGAGAAGCTGGCAGGAAGTTGCAAGTTGTAGAAACATGGTGTTGCACTTAACAGCCTGCTGTGGTTTGCTTAATAACTGCAGCCAGAACTGACATAAGTCAGTGTGAACCTGTGATGCCATGCTTAAAGGCCATGTTGCTGCTCTGAATTGTGGTTCGTAAGAGAGGACTACCTATATTCCATTTACTCTCACGCAGCCTTACTTCCATCCTTCCCATATTTAACACAAACCATCAACTCCTTATTCATGCCAGGTAATCCATAATTCAAGCCCGTTCAGTTTATCATATATTTTCTCAAAATGAACAAAGATATAATACATGCTTTTTCTCACATCCATATGTTTCTCATAATTTTTATTGCTAATATCTTTGATGGCTGAAGTATAGCAATTATTACAAATGGCAGGATCATCTAAAGCAGTGGCCCCCAACCTTTTTTGAGCCAGGGACCAGTTTCACGATTATTTATTCTTCCACGGACCGGTACCTGAGTAACGCGAGACTCCACCGCCATCGGGACGGCTCTTTGTTCGATGCGCCCCCCCCTCTTCGACGAAACTAAGGCACGAGCACCCAAACGCCGCTTTCCAACTGAAAACCCAGAAGCACTTTCCAACTGAAAACCTGGAAGCAACCGAAAACCCGGAAGCGCCGTCGAAACAAGATGGCGGCGCCCAAGTTTTGCGGCCCGGTAAAAAATGATCCACGGACTGGTAGGGGTCCGGGGACCGGTGGTTGGGGACCCCTGATCTAAAGTATGAGTAAAATTGAAGATCCCTCTGAATCCTCTGGGAGGATCCTATCTTTACCATTAACTAAGCAAAGACCAAGGCTTAGTTTAAGCACCATGGGACAATCACATCAGATGCTATGATAGGCAGATGGTAGCCATCAAAAGAACTCTCCAGAATTTCTTTGGCAGTTCTACTCCTTTAGAAAATCTGCTCTTCCTTTGTCTCCAGTTGAGGAAATAATTATATGTCGTCAGCAAACTTTTGTACCTGAGCTAAAACAATTTTGATGCTATTTTTAAAACAAGGTTTTGGAAGAGGAAAAAGAAAACAAAATTATTGATGGAGCACGGGCAAATGGGGGAATAATGCAGAAAAACAGATGAATGAAAGATAGGAAAAATATCTTTATCCTTCTTTAAAACAAATAGGAATGGAGGAAGAATGAATGGGAAACCATTGAGCACTCTCTGTTTCTTACTACAGCTATATTCAGTCCTAAAAGTGACTTTGCATTGCTGTTTTTGAAAGAGGATGTTTATTTTTTTTTATCATTTTTTAAATGTAAAATATATTTACTTCTAATTTGTGATATTGGGGTGACAAAAATGATGGGGGAAAGCTATGTAAGAACAGTTTTGAGCAATATTGCTAATATTGCCTCACTACATACTCTGTTGTAGACTCATTTTCCAATCTTGCTGAGAGTAATATTCCAGATATAGTCTTTAACTTGCATACACAGCCAGGTCCCATTTGTGCTTAAATATAAATCTCACAATCAGAACCTTTAAAGTTTGTGTGATTGCTGTTTCATTGTTCATGCCATTGTTTAGAACAGTGTTTCTCAAAATTGGCAGCTTGGAGATGCGTGGATATGCTGGCTGAGAGTTGAAATCTATGTATCTTCAAGCTACCCACGTTGAGAAACAGAGTGTTAGAGCATTCGATGACTACAGATTATGTATTTTTAACAAACACGTCCATAATTTTCAATGATGCCAATGACACAGATGTCTAGCTTCTCTAACCTTCGGAACAAGTCTATTATTTATTTAGAGCTTCTTCATATATGAATAAGGATACGGTTAGGAAGTACAGCTAAATTCTTGGACATTTAATCTGTAACTGGCTTTTACACGCATGTAATCTTATTTGGATATTATTCATTTTGTAATGAATTGTACAACTTCTACCTATGTTGGTTCTCTAAAAAAGATTGGGGCGTTGAAAAAAACAGCTCTGCCTTTTTTCTTCAGAAAAAATGTCTACAAGGCCTCTACAGAGGGGACCAAAAAAAGGCAAGATGGCACCTGCCAGGGCACCATCAAAACTCTACCTCTTTTTTATATGGCCCGTATGTGCAATATTAAAAGAGTGGAATCTCTAGGAATAGCTGCCACTTTGACTCTTTTAACCCCCTACAGATGTTACTTGAAGTATGCACTGCAGCTTTTCTTAGCACAAATCTACCGAATTATTTTAGGTTGCCATAGTGCACTTACATGCAATAGGGAGTAAGCATGAAATTAATGGCTCCTGCAGTATTAGACTATAATCGCAGAGATCAAAGTAACAAATCGAAAGAGTATATACAAATTCACAAATATACATTTCCGGTTCTTATTTCTTAACGATGTCGGACGGATAATAAAATAAGACTCTTTCTCTAAATTCACATTTTAAAAAAATGTTTTTTTTTATTGGTGATCTTGCTGAGCTGCCTTGTGAACTGAACTGTTGAACTCAATATGCTGTTTGCTGGCAGCCATACTGTAGTTATCAGATCCACCAGGTAAATGCGGTTGAAGGTGCCTGTATGGTGTTGCTTCACTGTGAGAGGGAAGAATTGGCTTTTACAAGTTGGCATGTAGCCAGCGGATCAGTCCACACTGAGACCTTTTCCCCATTGCTTCTTCCATCTCTGTTCTTTCAAGGTACCTCATCACTTTCTGAAGAATTTCTCCCACACTGTAGCCCTTTTGGGTTGCCTTCTGAGCCAGCTGTGGAAGATCAGCCAGTTCTCCTTCTCTGTCATTTAAGAATGTCAAGTTGGGCACATTGAAATGAGAAGCGACCATCCACTGGAGGACAGCTTGGAGTTCTTTGTTCAAAGAACCGTTTTCACCGTTCTGATTAGTTACTATAACTCCGTTTGAGCCACCTTGTCTCATATTAGATCTGACCAAAGCAGCTGTTCTTGGTCCTCCTAAAGTTTGAGACGAACCATTATATTGTTTATGTGACGTATCTCCGCTGCCTAAATTTGAACTATTGCTTCCGGGCTCCAAAAGGCACAGTTTAGTCATAGATTTCACCAGCTGGTCAATATCTAGCATATTCATACGGTCCATGTTGCCATACATATCCAGTGGTCCACTGGGTAGTTTTGAGGTAGCCTTTATTCTCTGAGGCTTGCTTTCAGGAGGAGGGACTTGCCGAAGACTCCTATTCATGTTGTTGCTATTGCTGTCTACATTAGAAACAGCTTCACGCATGACCTTCTGGATGGTTGATGTGAGGATGCTTGAAATATCTTCTTTTCTTGATTCTTGGTACTGACTTTCCTGCCACCCCGCTCCTCGTTTTGAAGGGCTAAAGTTAGGGGTAGGGACACCCATGGTCATCCCTGCCCTCTCGTAACCGGAATCCTGACGTTTGTAGCCAAGTGAAGGATTATTTGACACACAAGGTCCACCTTGCTTTGCTTTTTTCATTAGCTGCTGCTGAATCTTCATTAATGCACTGTCAATAATAAGTTTGGCACAGTCATCCATTGAAATGATTTGTTCTAAACTTTTGCTTCCACAAGGAGAAGGCTCCGCTTGTCGATTTCTCTTTTCCTGTCCATTATTACGGGTATACATTTTGCTGTTTTGAAGCTGAGCTTTTCTGGTGACCCTGCCAGACTCAAGATGTTGTCTCTTCTCTTAGCTTTCTAAGCTCTCCTGCTCATATCTAGGATATGCCCAGTGTAGACTAATCGTTTCTATGGTAGCAGTGACATCACAAAGCACCAGTGTATTATCCAGTAGCTCAGGCCTGATGACAATGCTCCCATAAATGATTTATTTTTAAAAATAACATTTCTTACTCCATAATTAGTACTTAATGTTGTTAATGAATGTCTATTATTTTCATGATAGTTGAAACATGGAAAATCATTACATTAAGCATATGAAGCTACTACTCCAAGGATCTAAATATAAACTTTCTGTCATGATTTGGAGCTTCCATCCCATCATACTCTTGTTAATAAAGTTTCAGATATCATCCTGCAATAGGTACAAATAAATGATGGCCATTAGATGTTGGACTATAACCTTTATATTCTTTGTCATTCCAGCTGGCATTAATCGGAGTAGTAGCTTCATACTGTGGATTTTGTTGTTGCGTAGTGGGGTGTCTGTTGTTGTTTTTTAAATGCTATCTTTGGGATTGTGGTTGATGCAGTTCTTTCGTTCTCAGTGATTGGTAGACTGGATCGATGTCAATATGTTTGTTTATTGACTTATTGGTGTAAAACCAGCTTTTGAGGAATGATCTTTTCTCTCCTTCATTTCTCCTAGTTACAACTGTGGTCCCGGTTAGATCAAATTTGTGTCTTGTTTTGTACTGTTTTGTAGATGCTCTATGAAATAAATATATCATCTGTATGCTCTCAAGAACAGCCCTCTAAATATACATATTCAATATAGAAGCAAAAGTACACAGACCAAAAATGGTTTAAAAGATACCTTTTATATCATATTCAATGTGATTTGTTAAAAAAAAAAAACATAATCACACATAATACCAAGTCATAATCTGTGGTTTACAATTCACAGTAGCTAGCTGGATTCATACAAAACTGAACATATAAATCACCCAGAAACTTCAATTGGTCCAGAATTCAGTGGTACGCATAATTTGGGGGATCTTGCATTTCATATCAATCACTGCTGTGTTAGCATTGAATTCCACTTTCTTTCCAGATGCAGTTCAAGATATTGGTTATCCCCATTAAAACTCTATATGGTAAGGGTCAGATTATTTGAGGGACCACCTCTCTCTGAGAATATCTACCCATTTCCATTAGATTGGATATGGTGGGCTAACTTCAGATCCAAGTGTTATTTGGCAAGAACTAGAACGTGAGCCTTTTCCGTAACTGTGTTTTAGAAAGTAAGGGAGATGGTCTTGCAAGAAATATATAAACACCATTACTCAGGTAAATAGGGCTGAAATATCCTTGAAGTCTTGAGAAGCAATATAACATTCAGAAGTGGCTCATTTCCCTGATTCGCTGATATATAATAGTGAGGAAGCAAAAGTATAATTAGACTTGTGAAGTTCAGTTGTTATACTCTACCCCAATGTATTGTTCAAGTTTTCCTGTGCAACTGATTTTCTGGTCAGGTTTACACAGTGGGGCTGACAACAAGTCTCTCTCTCTCTTTTAAAGAGAAGCTGAAGATCTCATTTTTTTAGTGAAGAAGATCTTCTACCTGAGGGTTCTCCACCATCTATAGAATACCTTGGTGCAGCTTTTTTGCAAAACCAACATGTGAATTTACAAATAATTTGTAAATAATGTGTAGCAAAATGCTACCACGCAATGAAGGCAACAGATGGAACAGAATTTACTTCAACTACCAGCAGCAGAGCAGCCTGCAGCACAGATGGTATTTCTGTGTTCTCATGGGAATTTATTTTTATGTAGAGTTTGCTGAAAGAAGTGGCAACCAAAGGGGCCATGCCTATCATTAAGGATAGTGACCCCAGGCTGGACAAATAACAAAATTTGAATGCAAAATTTAGAGGTTCCTGTATGATTCTATGAGAGGAGCAACCACTAACTGTACGATTTGCAAACTGAAAAAAATATGGGCATAAAGTGCAGGGACAGATAGTGGATCTTATTGGCCAGAAAATACTAAGTGGACTAAAGCACTTTTCAGCCCTATTTACCTGAGTAATGGTGTTTTTCAAACTGTTATAATTATCACTGTCCTAAAGCTGTGTTTGATATTTAATCTGCAAAGAACTCTAATGGAGATACAAATGTAAACAGTTCTTAGCAATGTAATATTAAGTTAAAGAACATATTCAAACTTAATTCTATTTAGAATATCTATTAGTATTAATATAATTAAACAGATGAAGAGAAGAATAATCTTTTCACATGTTTTATACTTGTTCATTCAAGATCTTATAATAAGTTTGAATTACCCGGTTATATTTATTCAATATAAAGAAGAAAAATGGTCAAAATATATCCCTATGGCTTTCACTGAAAGACGTTAATATATGCTGTCATGAACAAAATGAAGTATATGTGTTCCATCCTCATCTTCCATCCCAGCCTCTTGGCCTTTTATCTGGATTATTAATTTTCCATTTGATCCCAGAAGAGTATTAAACATTATTTGGGATCTCATTTATCCTACCTTGCAATGTATCTACTAACCAGGCCTTATACATTTGTCTTCATGGTAGAACATCAAAATGTTTCAGTCAACCCATGTTATGCTTCTGTGTCAATCTGTCAGCATTGAACTCTCAGTGCAGAAGTCACATGTCAAAGTTTCATGCTGATTCTATACCTACAATAGTATAAGAGATACAGTAGATAAAGCAATTTGAAAGTCTCCATATGTTTTGGCAGCTGAAACAATACACTTTATTTAAAGCTGAATTGTGACCCAACTGCTGCCGAAATCATCTTCTGATGGTTAGCTTTGTCAAGATTTGCTATTGTTAAGAGAACAGAAAGCTAACAGAACACCGGTTGAATAAACAAGAATGTATGTTTACATGATCTTCTGGCTTGCTTCAGATATTTCTTATATTTAGAATATAAAACTAGTTCTTACTTCTCAGAAAAGTCTCATGCACACAAAAAAAGTGCATTCCTTATTGTTATCCTACATCATAGGCTTTGTGACTCCAAATGAGAGTCCAAAGTTAAAATTCTATTTTTAAAGCAACATGACTTCTTAGTAATTTTCCATGTTCCAAAATATTTCTTTATTGGTAGCTAGTAATAATTTATAATACAATCAGAATACTTTGGGAAAAACTTTCCCAGGACAAAGAGCATGTTTCTGATAATGTAACCTATATGCAATTATTAGGAAACAGTTGTAAACCTAATTGCAGCAATCACTTCTATTGGACAGGAAAGTTTTGGTCCAGAAAGCTCATGTCTTTTTGAAAATAATGTATAGTAAAGTGCATTGTACAGAGGTTGCAATCTGAAATGGAAGATGTGCACAATGGGCACAGATCCATTATTTCTTTGACTAAAAACCTTCATTTGCTAGTGTGGTTGAACAAAATCAGCAAGATAGAGGAAGGAACACCATTGAGTCACAAGCTCTGCCCATGTTGAAGGAACACTTTCAAAAAGAGGTGTGGTTTCCATCCAGCCATCATTTTGTTGATTTTGATCCTCCCTCTCTGGATATCATTGCTGCTATTCTCCTTGCAGGAAAACAGATGTGGATAAAAGCCATGCAGCCCAATCACACTAGAATTTTGACCTTGCTGAAGATCATATCATGTGTGCTTTTAGAATATAGGAATGATTTCATAACAGGTGTGTGAAACACAACAAAGGCCTTGTTGTCATTGTCTCATAAACATTTACTATTGATTTCATTCTATGAAGGCAATTGACAGTGCCTTCATTTCACCTTGATTTCAGCACCAACATCTACAAGAGTTCTTCCACATTCCAGATAATCTAACCTTCCCAGAATATGCATTTGAATAGAAGCTTTACATGCATGAGATTTATATTAAGAGAATCAATAACTAAGCAAACTAGAAACTTAGTGAATTCATGACAAAGAGATCCATTTTAACATTGCCTTGCATTTTCTGAGTAGCTGTTGAAGATCAAATACTGTATTTAGCCATTTACAGCATTTTGTATATTTTAAGATACAATTTAAAATACAAGTAAACGTTTGTGATTTTTTTGCAGAATTTATTACAGCTCATTTCCTCTAATAGTTTTAAAACCTGTACCTTATACCACAAGAAGTCAGCTTTTATTTCAGTGAAAACTGGATCCATGATATTTTGCATGGGAATAAAGTCCTTATATTGTATAAGAGATTATGTTTTTGACTCAAAACAAATTGCCTAAAATATATACAGAGATTCCAAAAGCTATCTCCATTATTGTTATGACAAAAATACTGCACTTTGATAATATCAGGCATCTGTTTTAGTTCTTGATTTCTTGCATGCCTCATAAATGAATGTCCATACAATCTGCAGCTGCACACGGGATCCAGAAGACAATGGACTTGCTGGAAGTAGCAGCTTAATTTTTGCTTTGTCTACATTGTTTGGGGGGTGGGTTAATTTTTTTAACACAGGAAGCAGCAAATCATTCATATTACTAATGGAGAAAGACAAATTCTGGAAGCGATCCATTCATTCAGGGCAGTTGAGGGAAAAGCAATAAGGAGGACTTTTGTACAGGCCCGGAAACAAGGGCAGGACTTAATCGTGCTGAGTGCATGACGAAGACTAAGAAACATCAAAGACTTGACCCTGTGTACTACAAGAGCAGAGGGAGGTGGGGGAAAGGCTCTAGAAGAAAGCTGGAAGAATATCTTGGAGAATTGCATTGCTGGGAAACCACCAGTGTCTGCATCTGGTTGAACCAAGTAGCTCAATCGGTAGAACAAATTGTAAGCAAAACAGCCAGGAAAGTTCTTGATGGTTGAACTTGAAATGGAAGACCTCTGCAATGGGATTGTGGAAATAGTATTCTTTTCTGGCATTGTTATTGTGCTGATAACAAATGTGTAAGGTCCAACTGGTGAAGTTTTGTAAATGTTGCAAATATGCAAGAAGTTTAGCAGCTTAA